GGCCGCGGGGCCCCTGGGCTGCCGGGGGACGGTGCCGCGGGGCTGCGGCGGCCCTCGGGAAACCCGTGCTCCGCAGGGAGATGGCGGAAGTCCCCCCTCCGAGGGGGTGCACCCCGAGGGGATTTCTCTTCTTGGAGGAGACCTCGGTGTCCCCTAAAGGGTTACGAGAAAAGCAAGTGGGTGCGGATGTTTATCGAGAAGAGTGGGGATGGCAGCTGCCCCAGAGCAGTGGTCTGTGAAGGAGATGCTTATTTGGTGACGGAAGCAGTCATGTTACCAGCAGTGTGCAAAAACAGGTTGTCCACTAGACCTGGGAAAGGTTGTGGTGAGGTGGACCTCGAGGAATATGCAGGTGCCAGAGGAGACAGGACTGGAGGGGGCAATAGTGTGGTACCCAGCCAGTTTCAGCTGCTCCTAAAACCACTGAGAGTTTGGGGATAAAACTGACATGATGTTCAAGGAGGGATCTGGCAGGGGCAGTGGCAGTGTATGTTGTATTTGGCTAGAGCATGCCTTTTGGACAGAAACACTGCCTGGAGTGAAGACATGATGATCTGAAGGCTTAGCACGTTGTTCCAGTGGCTGCTTTCACCCTCATGATTAAAAATGTGTTCTTCGTTTGTAACCAGAGTTGTCAGGCTTCAGTTCACACTCACGGATTTCTGCCTTTTCCTTAAAGGCAGTTCTGTGCTGTCCGGTATATTGACTGCTCCTGAAGATGTGCACTATCATCAAGTCATCTCAGTCCTCTTCTTGGTAAACCAAACAGCTTCTTCAGCCTCTCGCCATAAATTACCTTCCCCATTCCTTCACTCATTTTTGTGCCTTTTTTTCTGCTGCTGCTTCAATGTTTTAGCATCCTCTTCAAGTGCAGGTACCAACATTTTAACTGGATGTCAGGATCATCAGTGTAGAGATGATATCATCTACATATTCTTGTTTCCCAATCCACCTTCTATAAACTGAAAGGTCATTTTAACTCAAGTTGCTACAGCATCGTGTTTAGATGCATTCATATCACTCACATAACGCTCCCTCAGGTTCATTTGAAGTGTATGAGCTGTACGCACTGACACCGAGGAACGGAAATGTCTGGGAACAGCCGGGTTGTCCGGCCTTGTTTCAGGCAAGCTTATTTGCAGTTGCAGCTCACCTAGATGCAGCCACAGCTGCATGGCTGAGCTACGAGCCTGTCCTAAGGCTCAGTCTGCCTCAGGTGCCCATGCCTCTGCCTCCCGCACCATCACCTGCCTTGGCCAAGACAGTTCTCCTCCTCTGCTCTTCATGGAGATTAATGAAGCCCGTTCAGCCTTTCCAACACCCCTTACTCACCATCATGCCAGCTGCTGCCCTCCTCAGGACTCAGCTACTCCCACTCAGTCCAAGATCAAACCTGGTGGCCCCAGCCAAGACCCCCACCCCAAAATTCAGCCCAAGCCCCCGCCTCCATTTTAGCCGCAGCACTGGAGATGGTCCCTGTTCCACAATAATGGGACAACAGGATGATCTTACACAAATTGGTCAATCTTGCCCACTCTTCTAGTGTTGGAAATGGTCATTTAGGGATACTTACTGAAGGATTTAAGAAATGGGACATTTACTTAACAGTTTACCTTGACATATCTTCCCAGCTTATGAAAAATCAAAGCTTTAGAAACCTCCAGAGCAAAAGGTTGCATCTGAGTCTTCATTTTAATAGCCACCAGTGAACCTGTTTCTATACTGTTTACATATACTTTTGACCTCCGTTACATAGTGAGACAATCTTACATAGTTTAAATACGTTATCTAGTATATATATTAGAATATAAAATACTATAATTTCACATGATGCTGATTAGTTCTTTTTTATGAGAAACAGGGTACGATTGCTCCCTATTTGCCTCCATGCTATTCACAATTTTACAGACCTCTGTCACTTCAATACCTATTGCTTTTCTTCCAAGATGCAAGGTCCTACCCTATTCAGTCTTACCTAGCATGAAAGCCATGGCATTCCTCTCGTCATCCTTTTGACCTTTTCCTGTAGGTTTTCAAGCTCTACTGGAAATGTTTTTTGAAAATTTTTTGAAATGTGATATCCCGGAATGCATGTAGTGTACAGGAAGGTTCAGCCTCATTCTTGCCAGCAGACAGTGTTTTAATATGGAATAAAAAAATCCCCATCAAGAAGGCACAAGCAAGGTTGTAAGAGAGCAAGCAGTAAGGCTGGATGCTAGAGCTGCAGCTGGGGGAACATAGTCTTTTATAAAACTCATGCTTATGTCACATTTTTGGAGAGTTCCCTCTTCTTTGGCCTTATTTGGAGGAAAGGCAGATTTGTTTCCTGCTTCCACAGTATC